AAGCAAGGCTGCTTTCTCTAGTGTCAAGAATAGGCTTTATAGGTTCAGTCTCAGAATGTAATCTTCCATAATGACACACCTTTTACAGACTGTCAGCTAAGTACCCAGGCTTATCAAACACTGCTCTTTTTGGCATTGTTTTCAACTTCTGTTTAGGATACAGTCACCTGTAGACGATGCTTTAGTGTTGTTATGTGAAAAGCAAGGTCTCACAGTAGCGAGATTTGCCTAGTGTAGAGATTATTCAGTTTTGATGTCCAAGTCAGTGAAGGAAGAAGCTTTCAGTGTTTCTGTGGTTTGTAGGTGCATACACTGTTATAGAAAGAATGTAACTTGAATGGATGCTACCATATCTGACACGTCAGTCTGTTTCAACAATATTTTTCTCTCTATTTCCAGTAGTTTAGAGTACATCCATGGTTTTTAATGGCATGGTTGATGATTTATGAAATGTATATGTACTCATCAAAAGTACTCCTTGCTATCTTGGCTCTTCCCACTGAAGTCAAGGGTAGAACTTCTTGTGGGAGGAGAAGGCACACTTCTTGTGCTGAGTGATTTGAAAATCCTATGACCTATGCATGTGATGTCGATGAGAATAACAGTGAACAGCAAAAAGCAAGATTCTCTACTAATAGTAAGAATTAATTCTTGCATGTTTTGTGGTTTTCTTCACATCTCTTTTGATGTCTCACAACGTAAAAAATGATTCTAATAGCTACTTTTACAATACAAATGTACATGCAAAGAAAAATTCCACTTTTGGGACCAGTCTTTTCTCCCTCTGCCTGCAAGGAAAATAAGAGGTCAATTAAATTGTATGCTAATACCTTTTTTATTTGACTAAATGGAAAAATAAAATGCAGGCAGAATTTCAAGACACAAGCCTTTAGCAGGCCATGGAAAGAGAACAAAGGAAAGCAACAGATACAAAGGAAAGATCTCCAACGAACTAACCGATTTTGCCCTCCCTGTCTCTTCTGTGAAATTGTTTTTAATTGCTTCATAGCTTGGCTTTCTCTGCAGCAGTGCTATTACATTTGGGCTACTTTATTCTAAAATTCTGGGGCATCTATACCAGAAACTGGCACAACAGTCTTTAGTGTTGAAATTACATTTGCCCCCATCTATCCAAGTGAGCAATACTGACTATGTCAGTTCTGAAGTAATTGAGGGTTCTCAGAAGGCTCTTTAGTGCTCTGCCTTATCTGCTATACTACTAAAATCTTACGTGTCCTACCTAGACTTGGTATGTTGCCAGATGTGACAGATGTTCCAGCAACTGCTGTTTATTTTCCTCAGTAATGGTCATTCATAGATTTTAGAGCATCACTTATATGAGACGCTGTGTGCTTTAGAAATGATATTATTATCACCATTATGTGTTGCTAGCATCAATTTCAGTATCTACAGCCTCCAAATAATTATCAATAACCAATCCAACAAGTCATAAATCCAGTCCTTCATATTTAGTTTATATTTGCATGCCATTACAAGATGAACCTGACCAGTATCAGTACACTGGCATCCTACCTGCTTTTTCCCATATTTCCCAGTTGGAATGCACGTGTAGGTCACGAGGAACATCAGTGGCACCCTGTAAGAAATTTCATCATATACCTCATGCCTGTCTGTATTTATGTCTTGATTACTGAATAAACTGGTGTTTATAAGGAAAGGAATACAAAAAATGGAAACGAGAAGACTTGGATTGTGCTGGTTACACTTTGGACTTACTTTCTTGGAAAATGAAGCTGTTTCTGTTGTATTCTGAAGTCAAAAGATGAAATTCATAGAATAATAATATGCTTCACATTCTGAGTCTCTTGATATGTAACGTACCGGTAAATTACCAATTAAGAAGGTTAATTAATTATATGGGAACTACTAAGGAGGAACACAAGGCATGTCAAATGAGAAGGTGAGTGCCGTCCTCTTCTGTCAAACTCTGGTCTCTGCCAGTAGTCTAGTGCACTCCTCAAAATTGGAACAGATTATAAAAAAGAAATCTTAAAGCTTTGAAACATTTAAAGCAAAAGCAAAAAAACCCCGTCAAAACTCAGAAAAACAACAGCTAACAAGTACTTTGGGTCAGAAGAGGGAAAAGATCCAGCGAGCAGTTTAGGTAACACTTCCAAGTGTAATGACAGTAGAAAAATGAAATAATCAATTTTGTTTCCGCCACTTAGATCAATGACTGTTGTGAGATAGAGAAAAAAATACATGCATTCTTCATAGGGAGTTGGAGAAATGGTATTTTATTTTGCCATGAGGCTCTTGCAATGTGTTAAAAGTTATGCCAGCGTAGATGGATGTAGTGACCTAGTGAGGTAGTCAAAGATTTTCAGTAAAATCAGTTCATTACAGGATTCTGCAGTAGTTTTTTTAATAGATACTATGAATGTTTAAGTACATATGCATGTGTAATACAGATGCAGGCGAATATGTATATCCATATAGTTTGCTATAATGTCTGGGTTCACAACTTACACTACAGGTTTGCTTTTCCTCTCTTATGGCAGGTCATGGTTTGCTCCCTCGTGATGATTTCTTCAGGCAATTATATAGTGGTTGCTAGATTTAGGCAGTTGTAAAATGACTAAGAACTGGTGATGGTAATATGAATAATAATAACCATATCAGTGAAGGTTTTTTTCAGATTTTAACCTGTATTATGCAATTTGACAAATAAACAGATACGATGCCATGTTGTTACTTCCCTTCTAAGATTAGGGTTTCTGCTTCCTTACAGCTGGGTTTTCATTCCTGTAAGAACAGGGCTAAGAATGCTGTGGGATGGATTCTGACTATGCAGCTTTATTTGCAATGTCAGTAATATCCCCCTAGGAAAAGAGCGTGGTGTCACCAATGCATCAGTACTTGCAAGAGTAAAGCATTTGAAAATATTTAGTCTTGCTTGTAGAGCAGTCCTTCCTACTCCAGACCAAGGCCTGAGAAAGATCCAGTCCTCCATTTTCATGTCAGGTTTTTATTTCTCATGTCAGCTCATGACTGTTCATATACACAAAGTTCTGAGTAGGTCCCTGTGTGTCCAGATATGGCTGTCAGTACCAATTATGGCAGTGTTCTTTGTCTTTCCTGTTTCCTATCATCTGGGGATTAGGAAGCTATCAGCTCTTTATTTATGGGAATTGTTTTTGCCTCATGTTAAGCCATATATTGTTGTGTTAGTAAGCACCATGTAAATGAATAGATAATATACACTGTGCTGAGACTGTTTGGATAGATATTGCCAAAATGGTCCCAGCCAAGCACTGCTAGTCATTAATTTTTCCTTCTCTTCCTTTTTGTAGGCTGATTTCCTGTAAAACTTTTCCATTTCCATCACAGATTTTTATTGCTTAGCATAATTTGCTCATATATTCAATATACATTAATATGTTTACATAAGAATAGGTCCTTGCTGATAATCAACAAGCTACCATATAAAAAAATAAACAAAATCCCTGGTATTGGAGTATTTGTTTGCCTCTGAGAACTCCTCCTGATTCCTCTGACTTTATTCCACCACATTCAGTGCACGTTGGGCTAGCATCTGGCTTCTCCAACCCAGGAGCATCTGGTCAGGTTCCACCTGGTCCTTGTCACAGGCACTCGGGAACAAATTATAAGGATCTCTGTAGACACTTGATTTCCTTGTCTGTCATGCTCTAGCAATGGATATATTGCTCCTGATTATTCCCAGTCCCTCTTGGTCAAAAGCAAAAGCAAGGCTGGCTCCTGAATTTGAGACTCTCATGGAGTAAAGAACTAGATTCTGATTCCTGTGTATGTTTTTGTGTGCATTGTAGGAAACACTCTTTTAATAAATCAGAAATATTGAATATAGTCACATAATTTCTGAGATTATTCTCTTGATATTGAAATAGAAATGCAAGATTGTTAGTTTTCTTGCTGTAAGAAGTGTTCAATTCAACATAATAAATGTGCTTCCTCTTTAGTTAGCAGAATTAGTACTTTCAAGAAGACATCAATTTGGGCTCATACAGTTTCAAAAAGGTTAACATTTTTGGGGTAGGATTATTAAAGCAGATGGCGTCTGTGGAGGGGCAAAAGATCTGAAGATAAAGTTTGCTTCAGATAAGCACCTAATTGTTCAGATGCATTTCTGAAGTTTAACAAAGTAATTGCATAACAGGTAAAAATCTTGTGAGACCACGTGCTTTTACTAGGATTAACACTTCCTAGATAACATTTTTCAAGAAATCAGAAGGGCAGGTGTGCATGAAACATGTATCTTTTCATTTCAGAGCCTCCAGAGCAATTTTATTGTTTGAGTTCAGAGGGAGCATCCCTCTGAACAGAGACATAATACAGTCTTTTTTTTAAAATTACCCTAACTGATTCTCATGTCCTTAGCAGGGATGTCATGTTTAGGAAAACCATGATTCCCTCAGGACTGATTTCTTATTTACTACTTAAAAAAATCATATGTCTCAAGGGAGCTTCTAAAGGCATCTTCATCTCTCTTTTTCTTTCTAGTCTCATTTGTTTTGGTATTATGAATCTTACAACTCCCTAATGTATCTTGTGAGGTTGCTGAAATACATGCTCTTGCTGCAACTGAGATGTGAAGGAAGGGATACTTGTTTAGGGATTACTACTGCCCCTTGCTCAGATGTTCCAGCTATTTCAATGCAGGCTTTACATCCAGATTTTCTTGTTTATTTGGCAGTTCATTGTTTAAGGCCAGCCTGTCAAAATAGGTTAAATATTCTTTGGGAAACATGGTCACATCTTTGAGACACCACAAATATGTTTAATACAAAAAGATTGGCTTGATAAAAGAAACATGATAAACTTGCATCCCCCAAAATACTTTTTTGCTGTTCCATGTAGATTTCCAAGAGCATCAGTACGCAATGTCAAATCTCATGGCAATAAATTCCTGGAAAAGGCACAGAGAGACACCAGCAAAGCAGTGAAAATGATTGCTGATGATTTGTTCTAACTACTTGACCTTGTGACATCTCCCCCAGATATATGACCAAGATGGGACATTGCAGCACTTTATTGATGGTGGAGAACCCAGTAAGTCAAGCTGGATGAGGTATATCCGATGTGCAAGGCACTGCGGGGAACAGAACCTAACAGTGGTTCAGTACAGGTAAAGTACATTTTGATTTACTCATAGCAACAAAATTAAGGTGTTTTCAGTGAAAAGTCAGACTGTACCTGTCACCAATACTATTGCCTCTGGTTGCAAAGACAGTAGCAGGGCTTTCGTGAATGTGCTCATTCGGGGCAATACAAAAGCTGCAGAGTGTAGTGAGGATGGGTTTAACTTTGGTTGCCCTGAGCTGAGGCCATTGTAGTAAGCATGCTAGACCTGGAGCTCCTGGGGACAAGTACAGCCCTGTGTCACTCGTGTGACCACCACACTGCACAGAGCCCTCTGCAGGTTTTCAAACAGTCTGATCAGAAGCAAGCCAACACAAGCAATCTTCTGCCTTTAACAAAGATGCATGTGCTAGAGGAAGGGGAAAAATGGCAGGAGAGGAGTTTTGAACTCAAAGGCTTTCTGAGAGTCAGTCATGAGACACATATACACCTAAAGCTTATATGTTGAGTGCACCTGCTAGCCAAGATTGTTAGTGCTTGTACCTCTTACGTCACTGGCTAGAGAAGGTCAAAATGTGAAGAAAAATGTAAGGAAATTATGGTGCATTTCACTTTGTACTCACAAACAGAATCAGAAAACCCAGACAATGCATTACATAAATACATGATCTCAGCTATAAACAAACCTTTTGCCTCAGAATCAGAAGCAACTGCTTGGCCTTATTAAATGTAGTAGGAAGCACATCAAAGCATGCCCTGGGCTTGCCAGTCGCAGTGAGCAATCCCGATTTGGCTAGTCGCTTTAGAGAGCAGAGTTTCTTTTCTTCAGGAAGAATCTTAAACTTATTTAAAGTACCTTTAAAATTAAAAATAAAACATACAAAAGCAAGCTAAAATGAAATATATATAAAGTTTGATTATCCCATAGGGTTCCAATTTAACAATGGTAAAGTTGTTCAATTGCATTTTCAGCTTTTTTATTCTCTGGCCAGTTGACTAAATAATGCCGCAGTTAAAAAAATAACAATCCTATTTATACATTACAAATCTTTTATTATACCCTTAAATATCTGATATCTATAGCTAAAATCCCATTGGATTTTAAATAAACACACTGGATAATGAATAAAGATTGCTGTGATGAAAGAGTATTTTTGTAGCTATCTTGTGAACTATTTCTCAGTGTGGTGGTGTGTGCATGCACATATATATATAAAAAAATAAGAAAAAATATATATGCGTACATATATATAGATGACAAACCTAAATGAAAAGTAAGCATGAGAAAGTCATTACACATCTGTCAATATTAAGTGGATTTTACAACTCTCCTTTCATGATGGAGTTTTTACTTAGAGTTCCCTCTGTTGATCTGTTTTTGATTACTTCAGATCTTTATAAAATGAACTACAAAAACACAATTTAAAAAACTGGCATCCATCACCAATGACTGCATCCAAGTGTAAGAAAATAGAAAAGTTGGACACCGAAAAACCGGCCTAATTTTTATTGTACATGGACGTCCTCCTCACAGAAAGTCAGCTGGTTTAAATTCATTCTGTTATGATTTGTAATATCTAAATGGAATTTTCTTCAAAGTGCTCTTGATTGATTGACCCTTAGCTGAACGTTTTGTTTTTATTTTGAGGCTGACAATAATGTTTGTTGGCATGTGTTCTGCTTCAACTGCGTTGGGACGCCATGAAGCTATCTTTATGAGTCATCCAACCACAATACTAAATACATGTCAGCAAAGGAAATATTATCCAAAAAGGGAAAAATCCCTTTGATGTACTTCAGCATGCAGAGATTTCTGCGAGTTTTGGAAGCTCTGCACGCTTGTAAGGGACGGTGTACGCTTACACTTTTTTTTCCCTGCCTACTCCAAGCCTCACAGACCACCCATTGCTCAAAAACAGTTCTGCTCTTTCAGCGGCAAAGTGTGTCATTTGGTTTTAGCACATTCATTTGCCGGGCTGCTGTGTTTATGTTAAGGGAAGCCAAACTGAGAGATGAAATGTTACAAGGGTGAAGTACAAAGTAGACTCAATTTTTCTCAAGTTAGGAGATGCTGGTAATTTATAGCGTGGCTCTGATTTTCATTTTAATGTCACAGTGGAAAGAATTAATGAAATGCGCAGCTCTGGGAAGAAAGAGAGGGAGAAAAGGAGGAGGAGGAGGAGGAGGAGGAGAGGGGGAGACACAAAGGGGAGAGTTTTTGTCAGATATTCATAGCAGGGTAGGAAAACCGTTCTGCTTAGCTAGCAGTGCCCTCCTGAGACAGGGTGGCAGTAAGCGAGGAAAATAACAAGATAAATGAAATTTTTGCAGCTGCTAGTAAAATATTGAGAATCTGCACTTTTTTATTGATCTTTATGATCCTGTTGCCAAGAGCCACTTTGCGGTGACAAAATATGTTGACAAGTGCATATCTCACTGCCATGAAAAATGTGGTAAAGGATTCTCCTTATGTCTGCAGTGTTATACAAGGAACAAATTGCATCGCTACAGCCAATTCTTTACAGAAAGCCTAAATTTAAGGCCTACCAACCCTAAACGCTTTTATCTTGAACTTCAGGCTAACGTTTGTAGCAATTCTTCACTCAGAAAACCGGTTGAGGCCTAACATTTTTTTTTTTGGTCTATAGATGTTTTTCTGCCTTACATAAGCTGTTATAAAAAATGGTCATTTCTTGGTACTTTGACTGTATCATTTTGGTATGTAATCCTTCAGCGAGAGTGGAGTGTTCTTCTTGTGTATATTGAATTTCTATCCATCTCACAGGAGTGTGTTTTACTGTTCCATATGAAGCCTAAGGGAAAAGCCACTACAAACTGATAACATTTTTTTTTTATCTTGTGCCTGATTCTAATCTTACACATTTTTTGCCCCCATGTAAATCTGTTAACTGTAGAAGTATCACTCTGATGCTATTTACATCAGTACAAGATCAGGATAAGGCTCTTGATTTTATGGTAGAGACTCTAAGATTTTTCTTTTCCCCCCCCTCAACTCCCAGTTCAGTGGTCTAGGAATATTCACAGTCTTTTCACACAGAGCGATGTGATAAGGTATCGCATTTACGGTAACACTAATTTATACTTACTGAAGGATCATCTATGTTATCCTCATGTTTCATACAGGGGAAGATATTTGTGGGTCTATGTTCAGATTAACCCCATTTTTTAAAATTTTCCTGTCTATTTTATTCAACAATCCAAGATCTCTCTTTTTGGTGGTATATTGCTGTAATGAAAGGCCACATCATGCTACTTCAAACCTCTTGCTAAAAAGCACTTATTCAAATGAAAAAATTGTTGCCTGTTTACCCCTAAATTTAGCTTAGATGACAAATACAAAGCTGTTTAAATGGCTGAACATACTGAACTGTGTGCACCACTCTGATGTTTGCACTGTGTTAGCAAAATGCAGCATTTCTAAAATCACTTTAAAAGGGACGTTGCAAGAAAATATCAGTCTTTTCATAAAATCTTGGTGCTTGTAAAATCTTAGTGTTTAAAATATGCTAGGCACAAAGTGCCTGTAAGGTCTTTGTTGCCCTATGCTACAGGAACAAAGTCCTTCCCTGATGATAGATTTGGTTTTAAAATAATAAGTTATTCATTTAGTTATCTGCAGAAATGCTTCCAAAACAATGGATGTCTACTGTAATACTGTGTATAATAAAAGGAGAATGCTCTATTCCTAAATTAAGCATTTTTTTCTTTTTCTCTTGATAGGTCAAATATATTCTACAGGGCTTGTATAGATATCCCCAGGGGCACCGAGCTGTTGGTGTGGTACAATGACAGCTACACATCTTTCTTTGGAATCCCTCTCCAGTGCATTGCACAAGATGAAAATTGTAAGTTCTTCCTTGCATTTCTACCTGTGTAAGTCAGAATTCCTGTTTCATACCTAATTAGCTGTATTCCTAGAGTATTTTGAGACATATTAGATGAAAGTGGATATATATTTAAGGCAAACTTGATGTGTACAAAATAAAACCCTGAAGCTGATACACTTAAACTGTGGAAAATTATGGTATGGTTACCATAATTTGGTAGGTGTTTGGAAGTGTGCAGGTATGTGCAATTAAATAGCAGATTTCCCACCATGGCAGCCTCACATAGCTTGGTAGTGTGTAGAATCACTCTTCCTTGTAAGTTACTCATTCCTAGTCTATTCTTAACTGATTTCCTTGGCCCTCTCCATTGTTATCAGACCGATCACAAGAGACTGTCTTGCCAAAACAGTAATGCATTGCAGGTCCACGAGGCCTCTCTTAGTGATTCTTCATTCTATTACCACTGAGTATGTCAAGAAAAGCTATGTCTGACTCTGTAGAGATGAGATCCTTGTGGTTAAAATAAAAATGCCAGCTTCTTTAAATACAGACTGAGTATAAGTAGCCTGAAATGACAATGACCCTCTGTTCCATCCTGGCCATCCCCATTTCCATCCATTCTTCTACCCCTTCTCAATATTTTACTTTTAGTTTGCTAGGAATTGCCACAAAATTAAGTATGTAACTTATAACACAGACCCAGTGCGATCTGGATCCAGTATCCAGTGCTGGATACCTTTGTCTCTAATGGGAATGCGTGATCCAAGCATGCCCTTCAATTTCACTGTTTATGTGTGGAATTTGATTAGAGCTTGCACCAAAGACCTCTCTTGCATGTTGACAGCTATGTGTATCTACGTGGTGGAAGAAACCAATATGGATGCCTGATTGACTTTGGTCTAATGTAACCCTGTGGATGGCCACGCTTAATCAATTACATATAAGATGTATTTTTTTTGTCGAGTACTTGGATACTTAAACAGCAATGCTAGGATGAACTCATGTCTCATAGCAACTTAAATACTGAACCACACAGCAATAAAACAGCAAGATAGCAGGGATTAAACTGTCAAAAAAACCCCATCCTTTTTCATCTTGAGTTTTCAAATCTGTTGGGCTTGAGAAGAGTTTAAAAGAAATTTAATTACTGGCAGTAATGTTTGCTGATAAAACTCATGCTCTGCAGTGTACAATATAGAAATATTATTTTTTCTTTCATGAGCTGAAGCTTACAAAATCTTTATTTGAAAAGCAAAGCATTATGGTTAAAATCTCTAAATATTGTCACTTGCTATTTTGCTGTGAGAGAAACCAGAGTTTCATCCACAGAGAGACTGACATGAGTAGGTGAAATTCATCTCTGAACATGGAGCCAGCTGCAGGCTGGTATATGACTTAAGTGCCACTTAAGCCCTCAGAGTAGACCTTCTGCTTATCTGCTGCACAGGGGTATTTTTATCCAGTACAAACTCTGCCTATATTCCTCAGGTCTTTAATATCCTGATCTTATTGCTTCTGTGGATTTTTATGAATACAATTAAAATGAAAAAAAGTGATCTGCTTCTTGTGTGAGAATGTTGGGGCAAAACGAAAGCATACGATTTGCCCCTTGTACTGGAGAGAGACACAGAAAATGTATTATATGTCTGGAAACTTGTGATAGACAGTCCCATGGGTGTGACTCTACTTAGAAATCAGATCCTCAGATACTCCAGAAAAGAATAGCCTAGGAAGGACCTCAACTTAAGTAAATTAAATAGCATGTAATATTATAATATTGGAGTTATTATGATTGATGGAAGATATTAGAACATAGCTCTGTGAAGTAACTGGCATTATTTAAGGTGTTACTGAAATGTTAGTTTGTATTACATTTTTATTGTATATTAAATAATGTTGGATGATTCCAGCTCACAACTGAAATCTAATTCTCATATTGGCTCTTAGAAATCTATCATCATGACTTACCTAAACAGAGCTGCATTTTCTAATCACCTGTTTAGTAGGTGCTATGTGGATACGTACATGTAGATATATACATATAAACACATTGTGACAGTAGCAAAACATGTGAACATGTAGATGTAGATATATGCATACAACATACTTAAAAATTTTAAAATCTCCATTAAAAAATTATCTCATGAGGTTGAGCGTGCCAAAATTAGAAAGCATGAGAAGGTGGCCTGAATTATGATTCTTTTTGCATTGTGGTATAATTTTTCATTAGATCAGCCCATTTTTCCATAGGAACTTTGCTTCATTCACTGCATGATCTAGGTGGTACTCAAGGAGTGAGGCAGCTGTTCAACTTTCTTCTATATGTTTGACCTCCTGCCTTCCTTATCATGAAACATTCAAATTCAGCACTAAATCACTTCTTTGTGAGAACAGTGTATTGCATTTGTTGCTCAAATATCTGAGTACCTCATAAGCCATAGTTAATTGATGATCATAAGATCTTCATGGGACTAGAAAAAATTTTTGTTCCTATTTTGTAGGTGGTAAATTGATACACAAAGATATCTCTGCCTATACTTTGCATTGTCTCATGGTGATCTAACTGTTATTAGCCTTATGATACAAGTCACGGTCAAGTCACTGGCTTTGTATTGTATTGACTGTGTGACTATTTGTGAGATGTAATAGTCTAATATCCTTAGTGGCTGCCCTTTAAGACGATAAGGGAACTATTGCTACGGTAGATATTTAAGCCTTGTTGTATCTCAAGGAGTGTCTGAGCAAGGATTTTTTCCCCCATGCTCTCAAAATTCATACTTGTCTGTGATACAGCAATTGGACATGCTGACTGCAACATGCAGAGTCAGGGTATCACAAGTGCAGCAGCATTGTCTTTCAGATGACAAACCCATTGTGCAATAAATGGATAGGTCAGGCTTCTCAGAGTCCTTTCAGTCTCAGACACCTCTTTGCATGAGTTTTCATTTCAGTGTCACAGAATCAGCATCATCCATTCAGATCACTGTCTCATTCAAGCCCATTTTTTTGTGCATTGTTAAAATAAAGTTGTTTAATTCTAGTGTCAAGAAAATGGATGTTGGTATTTTTTTGGTGTCTCCCAACGCTGTATTAGTTTTAAAAAGGCATAAAAAGGATCTTATTTACTTTTCTTGTTTTCTCCCAGTGAATGTCCCTTCGACTGTAATGGAGGCCATGTCCAGACAAGACACCCTACAGCCATTTAATAAAAGTAGCAAACTATCCCCTGCCACTCCTCAGCGATCCATAGTATTTCCACAGACTCCGTGTAGCAGAAATTTTTCTCTCCTGGATAAGTCTGGGTCCATCGAGTCAGGATTTAACCAGATCAGTGTCAAAAACCAACGAGTTCTTGCAAGCCCAACTTCAACAAGCCAACTAAATTCTGAGTTCAGTGACTGGCATCTTTGGAAATGTGGGCAATGCTTTAAGACTTTCACCCAGCGGATCCTCTTACAGATGCATGTGTGTACGCAGAATCCTGACAGGTAAAGCCCAGGCTCTCTTTATTTCTGTATCTACTGATAGCCAGATACACTGCTTTCTTCTTTTATCAAGCTGTTATCATTTCCAAAACCAAACCATTATTAGGAGGACCCTGTACGACATAATTCATCTGCAGCTGTGTGAAGTAAGCTGATAAAAACCATTGCTTGACTTCACTATTTGTAAAAACATTTGGTGCCTAAATGTGCAGATAAAAGGAAATAGCTAAGGATATAATCTTGTTTTCAGAATGGTTTGGTACATCTCATGGAGGCAACACAATAGAAGGAAAATTTATGAATATCATAGATAGAAAAATGAGGTCAAGATAATTAAAAGTCTCTCTGTCTTCCAAAGATAATCTAACTTGCTGCTCAGTGGCTGTCACAGTCATTTCAGGGTTCACCTATAGTGTGCAATGTGTATGAACTTAATTAAGTACTAAGAGGTAATGAATTGGAATTTTTTGCTTAGTACTATTTTTCTTCAGAGCATGCAAACCCATAAATCGTGCAAAGCTGTCAAAAGGAAATACCTACTCCACTAGTGATGTGGAGGAAAACAGATGCCACTTATTCAATAAACTAATATCCACACAGAAGAAAAATGTTGACTAGATACCTCAGAGTCAAAGTTGGTTTGAAAGTTTGTCAATACAGAATTTTATGGCCGTGAACTGAGGATGAAATTTAGCTGAACAAGTGAATTAAAATTTCAGGTACTCTGACCGGTGGCATAGTAAATATAATGGAACCATTATTTATGAATCAAAGCTGGTTTATTTGACAATTTTGATAGCTGGCGGGACAAAAGACAAAAATCAAATTAATTCAATAAAAAAGACTGCCCACGTTTTGTCTCTTCTTCAGCTGTGAAGAAGGTTTGAGCAGAACAGCTGAATCCCTGGAAGGTTGTTCTAAAAGCAGCATTTAATTGTGAATTACATTTAATCAAAACACTACCAAAAAATAGTCAACAGTGAGTCTGTGCATGTGTTTGTATGCATGTCTATGTCTCTTTGTGTACGTGGTTATCTACGTGTACACATATGCTTGTGTGATTCTGTAGGTGAGGAGATACTGGAGCATAAATCCAGTTTTCCAGGAAGAAATGTCAAGCATGCTAGTGGCAAACTAAATTCCATGCAAAACTTCATAGAATTTAAAGAGTTGATAATATTGTGAATGCAAACGAGCCCTTTCAACATCTTCTGAATTTTATGCTGGCCTTAGCAAAACAAGCACCATGCTAAGGAAGCTGTAGGACACAACTGCCAATTTAAATGCCCCAATGTAGAATATAGGTCCCGAAAGGTCCCCTCTCCTACGTTTCATGGACTCTTATATTTCCAGTATTAAAGTATCCTAAGCATACTGTAATGCATAAAATGCTGCATCAGGGAGTCTAGAGGAGATATGTTATGAGGCTCCCCCGCATACGTTTTCAGTGATTCGTCCAACCAGGTGTGATGCCTAGTTTTCATACTTTCCTTCACGTGAACCTGTGTCTTCCTTCATGAAGAACCAAACTGTGGATAATAGTTAATGCAAGAAGAGTGTCTCCTAATGGGGCTGTTCTGCACTCTAAGGAGTAGCTAAATATTCATTTTGCCAAAGAGAGAAAATGAGGGTAAGTCTGTCCTACAATTAGGTCTGTCATCTTGGAGGTAGAGATTTGATTTTTTATTTTTATTTATTTATATTTATTTTTTCCTAAGTATCTTGTGTCAAATATTGCCTGAAACACAGACTGGATTTTAAGTCTTCCCCCTTAGAGGTGAACACCCTCGTTAGTAGGTTACTGATGCATGATGTCTTACTGTTTTGCCCCTCCTGTGCATACTTAATTTGTCCATGCAGAACAGCTTCAACAAGAAAGTGTAGAGCATTTTTAGCTCAGAATACCCTACAGCATAGTAGGAAAATTATCTAGATCAGAAGACAAGTTGGCTCCCCCAGGAGCAAAGAGGGCAAAGGGTGAGTAGAGAAAGGACTCAGCAGTTTTGGGGAGGATTGGGGTGGAGAGGAGGTAAATAAAGACTCTGAGTTGTAAGTGTTGAATCTCAGAAGCTTTCAGGAAGATTCGAAAAATAATAGCTAACGCCTTTTTCTCAATATTGATACTGGCTAATTTATCTGATTTCCTCTCTGGCTTGGGTTTTGTGAATCCTGTTCTTAAGAAACTTTTTGTCTTGTATTATATAGAGAGTATAAAACCTAAATGAGGTTGCAAGATACACTTAGGATCAATCCGTTGCATAAATACTAGATACTGCAGTGCTCTGTTCTGTGACACCTGTGTTCCCTGTGTACTGAAAAATGTCTTACATCTCTATGTTTTGATTAAATAAATTGTGCGGGCTCCTTGTGGAGGCCAGTTTTGTAATGCCTTGTTTGTCCTGCGAGGTGTGCCATCAACATAGCTGCTGTAAAAGCATTTCCCAATAGGTCTTCTTTAGAGCGTTATGTGGGACATCAGTCACATGAATCTGTTTAAGCTCACTGCAGTTCGTTCAGTGTTTGAAATTACCAGAATAATAGTTACTGCAGATCACAGCTGCTGTAGGATCTGGATTCTCATATCCCTGCTTAGAAATCATTACAGGTTGAGTTTACATCACGGGCAGCTTTTTGTCTTCTAGCAGGTGCCAGTAGATCTGCTGTTTAGTGATGCAGTGGCTGGAAAAGAGTTGTCTTCGGTTTCTTAAACATATTGCATTTCTGCAGATGAAAAATTCTTAAGGTGTTGTACAAAATTTCCTGGAGACAAGAAAATAAGGTATGATTTGTGAAAGAATACCTGCCTGACAGCCTGAGGTACTGGGTGCAACTCTGGTTTGTATTTTTCTCAATGATATCTGCAGCACCGCTCCGGCTAATAAACAGCTCCCCACTTATTGTCAGCAATTTGTGAGCACACCAGCCACTATATCTTTGATGTGACTGAAGCAGCAGGGGCTCTCTTCTCTAGGAAATGATTTTAGACTATCCGTTCGGGCTTTGTATTTGTTTTTCAACAATGCCGATTACCTGCAGCATGAGGTGCAGGGAAAACATCTTTAAATCTATACAGGAGTCCAATTCATGACTCAAATTTGAGAAAAGCAAAGTACCTGGGGCTTGAGAAATTAAAAAAAAAAAATTACTTTAAAGCCACTTAGATGCAGAAAACATCTGAATGAGAGCAGACATAAAAAAAGGCCAAAATGTACTTAATTCCATTAGGTAGTGAGGAAGAAATGGTCCTATTTAACAGGCAGATGATTTAATAAACAAAAATAATTTTAAAAAATGATGAATCCAAAATAGGGAGAATTATTAAAATAATCTACTGAGTTTGTTGTTTTAGATTAAGATTAGAATTTTAATTTAAGTTGAAATTAACTTTAAATTATTTACTGGTGTACTTATAATTCACTTCTCCCTTTCAACCGAGATTTTTTTAGCTTGTTAAATTTTGTAGGGCTTCTCTTCAAACTTAATAGTTTTTGGGGTTGGAGTGGGTGTGGGAGGTGAAGATTTAAATCCATCAAGATATGAATTCTGGGACTTTCTGAGCCTCTGCGACTTTTTAAAAGCCTTGCCCAGACAGAAGCAGTTTGAGCAACTACTTCTTGAAGCAGGAGTCAGAAATCTATTTTTTGGTTTTGGTTTTGGTTTTGGTTTTTTCCTCCCCCTGCTGCAGAAATTCCCAACAATCCTATTTGGGGGGGCTCCAGAAAGGGGTAACCACAAGCCTTTGATCACAGTGAATCATTTTTAGCAATATTTTTAATTTATATATTTTTTAACAGCAACCACTTTTCTGGTAATGACGCGGTCTGTTTTAATGACATCTTTCTTCTCTCTCACTATGATCACTAGATTCAGGTATTGGTGTTGAGGGAAGGCAGATAGCTGTGTGTGGCACATTTTTATATAAAATATGTACATCTGTGTGATACATATTCTCATTGATTGCCATGTATTCAAGCTGATAATTTGAGGGAAAACCCACTCTATAATGTGTTCATGGCTGATTGTGGATGATATCTGGCCCTCGCAATTCGTGTTTACTCAAAAGATATTATTGTACTCATGTTTTGCTGTAGCACCTCAATATTAAATTGTGAGCATTTTTCAAAAACAGGAGCTTGAAGTTTGAAGTTGCGAATTTAATAGATCCTTTTCTCTAAGATCATGGCTCAGCCCATTTTGTGTTTATCTTTCTCTTTATAGGTTCTGTGTCTTTGACCTTGGTGTTCTCCCCAAGTTCATTAATTATTTTAAACTTCTCCCAAAACAGACCTAAGAAAAGTAAATGTTGTGAGTAGGTGTTGTCTATTCCTGTTTATAGAATGACTATGGAATATTGCTCAATTAAAGAAAACATAATTCTCAATTTAGTGCTTGTTCTTGCATAATCTTTTCACAGAGTTTTGCAAACTCCCGGTACTCATGGTTAATAACAACAAAAGGTGTACAGAGCAGGGCCTCTCCCTGACAGCTTCAGAAGTCTGAAGACACTTCAAGTGCACTAACTTTCTGCTTTTGCTAGTTCCTCCACATACATGTGTAAGAGATGACCCCAGAACTCCCAGTGGGTCCAGCTCTGCCACCCCACTGCTGCGTGGTGCCTGAAGTGCTCGGGGCAGTAGCCATGCTGCCTACGGGGAACAGCAAGGCAGCAGGGCATGTAGAGTCCAGAGGTAGTGAAGGTAACCTACCCATGGCTGATGCGAGGGATGCTTCTGTGTGCAAGCTAGCAGCATCCTTAGGTGTCGCTTTATTCTCCAGCTTCTTAATTCAACTTGCTAGAAGAAGGCATCCCTCTAAAATACCTCTCCATTAGGACAACTGCGACCTAACTCCTCGGACTGCAGCTGTGCTCTTAATGCTGTGCGTTGTACAAAGGCCTGTCCCTGAAAGCTGATGCTGGCCCCATTTCAACATGCCCTGCTTTCACTTTTTTGCAGAGGCTGTGGTGTGACAGCCTTCCCCCTATCACACCGTGAAACCCTGCCCTGGGTTCAGTGGAGCCCTGCGTCCCACGCTTTGAGACCCTGACATCAATTACATTGTTTTTTTTTACTTCTTCTTACTCCTCAACAAGGAGAAAAGCACTTTCAACTGCATGTCAGTCTCTCTTCTTTCAGCGGGTGCTTTTCTAGCTTTTTATAAGGGGAAAAAATGACAGCAATGTGCTATTTTGTTTCCCTGATCTGACAGTGTTTCAATGATAGAGTTACAGGTATTCAAGAACTCATTACAAATAATTCCTCTTCTAAGGATTGCACTGGGATTCCACATGCCCCTTGAAAACAGCAAATTCACTTCTGAAGAGGCCTCAGAAACCTGTTCATCATAAATGAAAGAATTTGAAAATTCAGTGGAAAATAATTAGAAGATTTTTCAGGATTCTAATAATTCAGACCATGAATTATTTACAATGTAGAAAATAAATTTATATTGGCTGGATGTACTTAGGAGTCAGGGGTTGGAAAGCATATTGTTCTAGCAGAGGAATAGTACAAGAAAAATAATTAAAGGCTATGTCACTTTTGCTAAATGAAAATCTAAAAAGAATCAGTCTAAATGTACAGTTGTCTGCCGGCAGCTATTCCAGGTGTAAAGGTACGGATTTTTCTATTGTTATCCCTTAACATGTTTTGTGCATGTTAAAGGATCCCCATCTGCTGCACAAACCATGACCTTTGGCGAGGTTCAATAAGCCTTATAAAGAACATGGGTTTTGTACTAGTCCTATATATGATGTAGTCTCACCCAGAAAAATTCAGCTACAAAAGTGAGAAAATTGTAAGACAGGAAAAGACATCACCAAACAGCAAAATCATTCAAGATATTGTCTAAATTAAGGAGCAAAAAATATTCTTGACTGATTTCGTTTCAAAAATATAACTTGAAAAACTTGGAAAAGCTCAAAATCTAAATAACTAAAAAACCTGAAAACTATTACATTATAGTTACTCCTTTCCGAATTTCACTTTAAATGGCCTGTGTTCCTACAATGGGCCATCATATAGTCAGATACTCTAAGATTAGGGTCTCTAGAAAAAGCTGGTGGACTCTACATAATAGTAAAGCTAGATAGCTGATCGATGGTGCATGGGGTTAATGGCAAAAGTGTAATTTTTCTAACAGGAGAATTTGCTTCTAGGTAAGTAGATTTCCTTCCTTTAAGCTCAGACAGGAAGACAGAGAACTAGAAAAGTATGTAGCTAGGTGTTTAATGAAAAACATTAGGACTGCTTTTGATGGCTGTCAGCACATCATTCTCATCTGCACATTGCTGTTCTCAAATGTAACTCAGTTTAGCTGTTCTTAAATGTAACTTAAAAATACTGTATGAGAAGATTTTGATCAGGCTTGATTTATACCTGGAAGGGCCTACAAGATCCTTTGTGGAAAATGCAATGATGAAGACATTCAAAACTATCTTGTTTCTGGTACATCATAGCTGGAGAAAAAGTTTGTATAGAAAAAAATATTTCTTCAGGTAGTCAGCATGTACTTTGAGGCGCTGGTACACCTGTTTCATCAAACTGGTTACTTTCATGCTTGCAAATCTGTCTGTACATCTGCACAGGAGTATTTTAGTTATGTAGGCTTTCACATATGAAGTGACTGACACCCATTTTGTTTGAACAGTAATTTTCTGGAGCATCAACATACATCTGGGCTGTGACACAGGTAGGCTTATATTCACGTGGATACCTTGAAGCTCAAGAAGGTACAATATGTTCTTGGTTATTCCAGTGGAAATGAGTTTTTCTGGGCTGAGACTGCATTCAGTCTAGAAGCACGACTTTGAAAATACAGCCTATGAAGACCACTGGTTTTGTCACTATGTCCCTGGTCCTTCTGTCTGCAAACCTCTGCTGAAAAGAGGTCACCATCTTAATTCATCGTCCCAGTGAAGATCGAAGTGATGGCAGAAGATAACGGCTACATCAAAGACAGCCCTAGTCTGCCCATGTCAATGTACTCACTGAACCGAGCATTGTTCATGTTCAGTCCTTCTGCACCACTTTCATTTTTTAAAAACAACATATTGATTTTATTTTCTGCCAAGAAAAATTTCTGAGCACAGTAAAATGGTTACCACAGAACAAAATGGTAACTTTTATACTTATTGAATGACTTTTTTTGCTCTTGGAAAAAATAGTAGTATCCAAAAGTTGTCAAAATGTGGCATATCTGAATCTGCAATTGTGCAAATTAAATACAGCACTTTTAAATTGTTACAGTATTTCAATGCATTTATAGGCTTTGTTTTTAAAATTAGCTTTGTTTAATATGTGCCATGTATCTAGTTTGAAAAAATTACTTATTCTGCCTATTTTAGTATTAATCAGAATCGCCTGTGTATAAACTGGAGAATTGCATCCCCTGCAAAGAGGAGGGTAACTTCTTGAATAGCTGTTCTCCCAAGATATGAATGAATGGAAAAAATACAGTCAAAGTGATCTAACAATAGGTGATTTTTTACAGGGCTCTTTTCCTTGAGCATCACCCAGTGAAATGTATTTTAAGTACATATATTAATATCCTTTGTAAACAAAAAATTTGTTTTGAGCCAATGTGGGGGGTAAAAACATTTTACTTGGCATCACAATGTTCAGTTATAACTGGTTTGGAACTTTGACTATTTGCAGACAAGTTGCGGTGTGAGTTTTCACAGTATGAAATTAATCACATTGATTGTTAAAAAAATAAAAGATTAATTGGTTTTATGTAGTCTTGTATCATTTATTGTGGTAGCTGCTAAAAATAGATAACCAGGGGCTAATAGATGTTAATGGTCCTTTTCACTATTAAAAAATCAATGTTTCTTGGATACAGAATATCTTAATGTATTCTTTTTGCTTAAAAGTGTTTGATTTGAAAATACCCAAACAAATAAGTCTGCATTCACAAAAATCATCTTTGTTTTACCAGCACTTGAATTTTCATGTCAAGTTGGATAAATATTTTCTGTGCAAATTAACTGTGCACTTCAAGAAAGGAGAAGACTGGGCATGTTACTACTTGTCTTCCAATACGAGAAACAGATATTCAGGTTTTTTTTTTTTCTTAAAATATTATTTTACATATATTAATGTATATTTTTAAGGGCCGTATCATCTAGGTTAAGTAACCTTTCCACAGCTTTTATATATTTCTTTCAGACTTGTGGGAGAACAGTTAGATTTTCAAATATAAGTAATTAAAATTGTAAGCTATTGAGTTATTGACCAATACTGAGCTATTAATCAAGCTAAAAAATTCTACAGTCAGGGTTCAGTGCTCTGAAGCACTGTAAAATAATAGTATTTGTGTTCAGTGATGCAAGTAGCCACAATTAAGCAGTTCACTTGACAAATGAGATTGTTCACTTTATTTTGCACTTAATTGAATTGTACATGCTTGGTCACCATTGTCTCCTTCCCTTTAGTTTTGGTTTCTAGCCATTTAAACATACACATTTGTTAAAGAGAGAGCAATTAAGTTGGTGCTGGCCATTGGCTCTAGAAATGCAGACATCAAGAGCTGTGCCTTAAAATATTGTGCAGGGTAAAAATCATTAATATCCCTCTAGAAAAATTCTTAATTTTTATAACAAAAAATCTGATAAACATGTAGAACTCTGTCACTAACTTAAATCAAATGCGAAAAGGAAAAAAACCCTGTAAGACGTTGATATTGAATCACTTTTACCGAACAGAAATATATAGGCTTCGTTTCTTCACATTTTTTTTTAGTTAGCAATGGTATTTGCATTTCAGCAGTCCTGTCTCACCTTGCCGTCTTGTATCCTTTTCTTTCTATGTTTGCAGTCTGTTTGTTATGATTGTGAATTTGTAACATCTCAGTCAGTTTTGTTCATTTGTTATACTTGTTTTTAACAAACAGTGGTGTTGAAAACCTAAGTTCTGGGTTTCATTTCAAGATCACAAAGAAAGCATTTTCAGTCAGGATGGGAGAATTAAATGCAACTATTTTCAACAGCAGTAAGAAAATAGAAAGGTAGTTGTAACATCATGGTTATTTTTTCCAATGTCTCTAATTGAAAAAGGTGATCTCAAAAAACCTAGATTCCTCCAAAGCAGTACAAAGAATTTAATTGCAAACAGTCACAGAATCCACCTAGGATATAGGTATAACAATCAGACATACATTTGTAGGTTAGACTGTAGCTGGCACCAACAGACAGATGATTTCGTCAGTCCCTTAGCTCTGATGTGTGAGGAGTTTTTTCAGACTAAGGGGTACCATGTTGAGTTTGGGAGAATTTGGCAGGCGTGTGATGTGTAGTGCAGGCTCGCTACCTTGCTGGATTATGTTTTGTGTGGCATGATGCCCATAGACTCTCAGTCAATTCCTGCACAAGCATTTCACATTTGCTAAAGCGGTCATGAAGTTTTGGGTATGTGTCTCCCAAGGAAGCCCGAGAGAAGTGCCCCCGCAATTCTCTTTGGAAATTACTGGGAAGACCAGGTGTTCCTACCCATATGGTTTCCTATTCCCAGCAATGGAAAGCGCTGACGGCACGGTGTTTCTCTTCCCCATTGCAGGCCCTACCAGTGTGGTCACTGCTCCCAGTCTTTCTCCCAACCTTCAGAGCTGAGGAACCACGTAGTTACGCACTCCAGCGACAGGCCTTTCAAGTGTGGCTACTGTGGTCGTGCCTTTGCTGGTGCCACAACACTCAACAATCACATCCGGACACACACCGGGGAAAAGCCCTTCAAGTAAGTACTTGAAGCCAGCAACCTTTGCCAGCTGAGACTAGAGAGGGACATGCATGGCTGCTATTCACTAGCATCACTGGGCCGTACCACAGCACACAGCAGAGGTTGCCTTGAAAGCCAGATAAATGTTAGTGGTGTGGCTAAAATCAGAATTAAACCAGGCTTAGTTTTGGGTGTCTTACAAGCCCTCAGCAATTTTCTGTCCTGTGATGAGAACTTGATTGTTTTAATTAAATGACAAGCTGCTGCCAGAGAACCATAGCTGAAAATACACTCAAGACCGGGACAGGCTATGCTGTAAGAACAGTAATATGATTCTTTGATGTCTATATGCTGAGGTAGATGGAGCTTCACATAAAGCTAATTTGGGTCTGGTTAAACATGGGGCAGAAATACAGATCTTTTTTTAGTCTCAGAATCACTGCATAGAAAATGAAACTCTGGCTTGTGGTATAAGTTTGGTAAGATCATAATAATAAATTGATAGTGTTCAGCTATCCAAGATATAAGAAAAAAAAGAAGTCACCTGGTCAAGATGGTTTTTAATTAAACAGACTCTGCTTATTTCTGCAGTTTCTGTTTACTGAAATTAAAGCCAAGCATAGGTCTGACTTTCAGAAATTTTCCCCCTACACTCACCTTCAGCCATAGCACATGTGATCCAGGTGGATTTTACCTTCCATTGTGCAAGACTCTGCCTACCTAATAGGAGGTGTTCTCCAAGACAGAATACAAATTTTCCATATTTGTGCCTGTGTCTTTGCTGAACTGACAGGCACAAATTTTATGGATATTGTACCTGGAACGATCCCACTTTGGAAGAAAAATAATGTATTGATATCAATGTATAAGGTATTGATATCACTTCTTTTGGAAGCTACCTGATGTTCCTAGAAGGAATGGAAATAAGTATAGAAGAAGGTGTGTGTCTCTCCCAGTACTCCAAGGACTATCACCATTTGTCTTTCTTTTCTACTTTTGCCGTACTGTGCTCTTGGTCTGGTTAATGTAAAAGAGCTCAGCCATGGGGCCTGTCAGAACCCCTCATAACAAGCTTGGTAGAGATACCGGTAGAGATGCTTTGCCTCCATATATGGTTGAAAGGAAGCATGGCCTCCATGCATGTCCCTGCTGGGGGCAAGGGGACAGCCCCAGGAACCAAATACTGCATATCCAGTGCAGAAGAGCTTGCATACCAGAAATCATGGCTAGGATAGTGTTGTATGGCAAAACACAGAAACCCAGAGCACCTAAACATTGACTCCTCTAGAGCCAGTCTGCTGAATGCTCAGAGACCATAGAAAGTGAGCCAAAAATAGTGTGAGCAATCAGATTGATTTTATCTAGTTGCTGTGTAAATAGATTTTAGTAATTAATGGAAGAGGTTTCCAGGTCAAAATGGAAAATAGATTTCTTTTAATGTTAAGGTGTTACTTATGTGTAACCTTGTTGACTCTACTTAATTTTTTTCCTTAACATCCTGTTTTTGTCATGTTTCCAATAGATCTGCTATTTTGCCCCATTTAGAGTAATTATTTTTCCTTTTTGGCTTAGTAATTTTTTTCCCCTTTTCCAAAACGGTCTTGACTACAGCACAATTTCATTTGTGAAGGGACTTAATGCATGTACTACAATTAACCACTAGTCTGGGCTTTGTTTGTTTTGCTCTTCGTAGGCTGAGGTATTTAAGTATTCTGGGATGTATCTGCCCATTCTTAAAGATGCAGGGCAAAGCAACAAAAAACATGGGTGCTTTATACTGCTTCTTTATGATGTATGGCATAATTTCATTCTTGTAAGATGTTCATTTAGTTTCTTTCTAAAACTCAAGAAACAGTAGTATCAATTTCTCTCTGGAAGACTTGTTGAAGTATTTGCAGTAAGCTGACTAGTAATTTCACATGAAGCTAAAACTGGAGCTGCAGATCTTCCCATCCCTGCTAGTCAGATAAGGGGACACATACGCCCTGGTCCTGCAAGCTGTTCAAAAGGGCAGATTTGCCTGCCATGCAGGACTGCTTGCATTTGACAGAGGAGGGGCAGAAAACTTATCCACAAATTGATCCACCCTCTCTGCTGGAGGAAAAAGAGATAGCTGCAGCTCATCTTGAAGTCTCATCACCATTGAAAAGGAGGGGCCCAAGACCTGGTATTGAGTAAGCTTAGGAAAAAACCTCAACAAATTCTAGTAAACAAGAATCGTAAACAGGACAAACAAGATTTCTGTCTCTTGATCATGCAATTTAAGTTTTAAATGTTTGTTTACAAAGGGATTTTGAGTGTACTCTTACAAAAAAAGTGCGAAACAGAAAAGTCCATTGAGATACAGTTTCTGTACCTCAAAGAAGTCTGTATTTATGGTAGTGTACATCTGTGCAATAATATTTTTACTACTAGCAAGAACAACAATGCATGGATAGTGCTAAATTACTTAAATTCTGGCTAAGTTACTTATAAATAGCAGGCATAATTTTGAAGGTATTACTAAGTTCAATTTCATAGGTGAAAATGGGCAGTCAACTGAACAGTTAACTTGCATCTACTGTGAATGCAATCTCATTATTTCTAATGCAGTAAGACAGTTATGTTTGTAAGTGGTATTTGGACAGATTACAGTGTGCATGGATTAAGCAGGCAATGTCAAACACTGAATGTGTGTTTGTATGCATATTATTTTCAGAAGGTGGTTCTAAAAACAGTGAACACAGAGTGACAGTATTTTAAAATATTTCAAATTAGTTGTTATTTAAGAGGAAGTCTGTGATTGTTAAAAAGCTTTTTCTGTGAGAAGGCACTTTTTTTGTAGGTCCTAGGTAACTTTGGATGTATGGTGGAAGACTTTTCTATTTTCTTTTTGTTACAGATAACAATGCTAAGTGAGGTTATCTGTAGTCAAAGCTTTAGCTGCATTGCCTGGACTGCAGGTCCAGTTAGAAGGGATTTCTTTTCATGTCATCACAAGCTATCAAGTCAGCCTCACCGCTGTAAAGTTTTTGTGTATTCTTATCTTACTGAAGTCTCCACTATGGCTGCTAGTCTGGGAACAAAGCTCTTAAGCAAATTAAAAGGTAGGAGAAAAAAGAAAATTATTGGCCATCACTGTTTTCTTAAAATTCATTTCAGCAAAATTAAAGATTAGTTAAAGGACTTGCCTGCAGAATCAGGGTTATGCAAACATCTAATATTTAGGAGTCAACCAAAAAGAATTAGAGGAAAGATTCTTTCAGATTGGGATAACCCAGACATTTTTCATTGTTTCTAACTGAAATGCAAAACCGGGGGACATTAATTTCAGGTTGAATATAGGTGTTGTACCTGCAGTGACTTTTCAGCTTTGTCCTGTTTTGGGTTTTTTTTTTAACCCTTTCAAATTATTTTAAAGTTTAGTGTTAAATGCTGTTCTTGAATGAAATCTTAAAATGTATATTTTGAAAATACCAGGTGAAGATATTTTTTCATAAAATAGACCTTCATCATTTTCTTCACCCAAAGCCTTTCACAGAGATTGATATAAACTTGGGAATTAAACTAATGCTGTCTATAATCCTCAATGTCAATGTTTTGAAAGCACTGTGAAACAAACAAGCAGACCAGTGACAATGAGGGCTATCTAAACAAGCTCAGAAAACCCAGTACCTTAGACATATCCAAAAACCATTGACGTTCATGTTGTTTGTGATTTTAAGAACCATTTTGATTACCACACCCACCCAAGCAAATCACACAGGGAAACCTTATGGTAGAATGAAGTCTTGCGTTTGATGAGGTTGAATGTTGTAGTACAACATTGCTCTTTACAATTAAAATAACGGCACACACACATTGTAAAAAAAGATAACATGGATCCAGTTTTCACTGATGGCATCCAATTGTGTGAGGACTTTTAAATGGCTTCTGTGAATCTACATTGTGTCAGGGGTTGTTTAAATTACCCTCAAATGCCATCAATAGTTTAAGTGGAAATTAAATGGTCTCTCAGTTAATAGGTATCATTATTGCCAATACTTGTATCTACTTGAGGCTTAACCAAAAATTTGGTGTATGTCTAATAGCCAGGCTTGGGCTCAGCCCCATGGTTACTTTGTGAGTGATCGCAGGCGAGGCGGACTCTTTTTCCTTTCTGACTGTTTTGGCTACTATTCAACCTTCCAACACAACATTAAACATGTGTGGCTTGTAGTGTAGAAACATGTACACAAAACCATGCACACACATGCTCACCAGTCTCATAGACACAGGTCATTGCAGTGGTTATTCTGCTATTACAGCTAGGAAAGGATGGTTGATAAATCAAAAGAAAAAGTATTCCTCCTTTTCCTCCCATTCCAACCTACTGTGAGACAGTTATGCTGACTGCTGTGACACTATTATCTTCACCTTTCCTGTCAGTTGGTATCCGGCAATAACTTCTCTGGACCACATTGAAAGGAGGAGTCAGGCACCTAATACAGGTCCTCGCCTCTAAGTCAGGTACTTATATATCCAAAACTATAGTCCTGAAAACACCATCCACACCCTTTGCAAGTGCTTAGAAAAAAACCCTGGGCACCTTGGGTACTATCTGAAGGTAATCTAGGTACATGAGAAAGCCAGGTGAATTAGGTGCTTTGCCAAAGGCTTTATTCCGACTTTTGTCCAAGGGCTGTATAGCGCAGACAGCACAGCCCAACCAGCAGCAACACTTGGCACCCACATCCCTCCTCTCCAGAGGGCAGATGCTTGTAGCAAGAGATTTATTCTTTTTTGGTGTCTCTTTAGCATCCTTCTTTCCTGTGTCTGTATGAAAGTGTCCCAGAACAGTCTGTAGCTAGGAAGTTAGAGCACTCTCACCGCAGAAGCAGCTTGTGGATAAAGGACGGGAACTTGCATTTTAAAGGAATATAGTGAGCCTTGCTCTATGCTTTCAAGAGCAATTCAAGGTGCTGAGTGAATGCGGTGCCCAGCTCTAGCCTCCCAGGCAAGCTCCAGAAAGGCTTCATGGCCAGTGATTTTAATGAGTAACTCTGTCTTTTGATCACCTTATAGTATTTCTCTGATTCATATATGGCCCCTAGGCATCCTGATATAGTATATTTCATTTATTTGGTCAGGCATGTAGAAGTCAGGTGTTGTCACACCTGATTTTGTAGGTTTTTTTACAACTGTACGGCTTAGAGCTTGGTTAGGCAAGGATCCAAGCCTCCTATTACTCAGCAAGCAAAGCGCTTGTCTTTGTAGACATCAAAATAACAAAACTATCAAGTTCAAGTAGATGGCAATATCTTATACAGACTAAGTTAACCCCCCAGGCTTAAAATTGATTCTGATGCCTCTGTGATAGAGATATATATATGTATATAAAAATAATACAGTAA